CAGGTCCTGGGCAGTGGTGGCCCCGAGTGTGGTGCTCCTGGGGGGCGGGTGGCTGTGGTTCTGGATGCCACACTAGAAAGTGGCTCACCCGGGGAGGGCTTCCCAGGGTGGTGAGGCCCAGGGGTGAGAGCACCAGGATGTGCAAGGGAAGCAAGGAAGAACCAGGCCAGGCAGTGTGCAGGGCTGCGTGGGGAGCGGCTCTCCTTGGTCCTCTCTCCAGCACCTCTGTCCTCTGGCTTCTGTGTCTGCAGGCTGAGCCGCATGGCTCTGGGAAGCCCTAGTCAGCAGCTTTGCACATCTCAGAAGCTGCACCCATGGGGTGCTGCTGTGCTCTGAATGTCCTGGGCCTCCACAAGGTGGTTTACTGCCTCCTCGCCCTTCTGCACCCTCACACACTCACACCCTTGCCCCTGAGACAACGGAGGTCACCGGGCCCCTCCCCAGGTCCCTCCTGTGTTGCCAGGCTTGCTTTTGCCTGTGCCGAAGGTTAATGTTACAGCTCTCTGAGTAGACAATAAAGTCGCTGGAGACAGACTGGGCTCTGAGCCTGCACGGTGACAGACAGGCCAGGCAGTCACAGAGACCACACGGCAGGGATGCAGGGGTGGCCAGGCAGCTGAAGGAGCTCATCATCACAGTCCACACTCCTCCCTCAAAGCATGTCTCCACGCCAAGCGTGCTGTCCCTGGAGGGAGGTGGCGCTGCACTCAATCACGTCCTCACGCCCTGGGGCTCAGAGAACAGTCTGTGGTCAGCTGCACGTTCTCCTGGAAGCCCAGAGACAGGGGAACCACCCTGCTTGGTCTCGGGTTCTCAGCGTCAGGAGTGATTCATCTTGGCCCCAAGGCCACACTAGCAGGGCCAGGCCAGGCACAGGTGCTGTGGGCCAGAGGCTCCATGCTCACCAAGGGGCTATTCGGGCTGGGCTACAGCCCCTCCTGCCTGCTCGGTCACTCTTACACTGGCTCCCTCTCCACGTCCCTCTCAGTGGCCCCACTCTCCAGTCGAGTGTGCGCCACTGTCCCACACCTGGGCCCCTCTGCCTCGCTGTGATGCCGCAGGACCCTGGCCAGAAGTGACCCTTTGGCCCGGACTCCTGGCTGCCAGGTCTGCATGCCAAGAAAGCTGCACTGTGTGGCACTTGTCCGTCCATAGCCATCTCACACAGCAGGGGTGGAAGGCCAGAGCAGAGTGAGCGGAAGGGAGGGTCTCAGGCCTGGAGGTGAGGTGGCATGGACACAGGGTGCTAGTCCTCGATCCTGGCACCCCCTTCCCTGTGCACTTGGCATTAGTAATCACGCCCCTGGCTGCATGGCTCCTTTCTGCCTCTCAGGCTTTTATTCACGCCAGCTTCTCACCAAGGGCTTCTTGTCCACTGTACTGAAAAATCACAGCCTCCTTCCTTCTGCAGAAGACGCCTCAGTTGGCTCGTTTCTCCTGGTCCCTGGCTGCCAAGAAGACCACCTTCTTCAGTCCACACAGCCAGGGGTGGCCATGCACAGGTCCTCCCGAGCTGACTGCTGAGAGTGCTTTGCTGACTCCCAGCCCAACCTGCCCGACAATAAGCTGTCTGCTTTTTAAAGACTACTTTCCAGAGAGCTGAGGCCCTGGCTTCTACTGCCCAGAAGCAGGCAGCTTCTTAGGGGAGGCAGGGAAAGAGCCAGAGGATGGGATGCAGGGACCCTGGGTGGCTGGGGCGGGGGGGCAGAGATGTCCCCTCACTCCATGGCTTGTGCAGGAGCAGGAGTCAACTTCTGCTCCAGGGTCTGTGTGTTTGGGACACTTCGAGGACAGCTTAGTGGACTGTGGGTTCCCTCCATGATCCCCGGTCCTGTCCTGTCCGGCCGTGAATCCCATCTAGGGGAAGTGTGGTTCTTCTCTTATTTGCCATCTGCTTTCCTAATCAGAGTGTAAGCTCGGGGGCGGGGCACAGAGTTTTGGGTTTGCTGGCTGTTGGGTTCCCAGCACCCAGAACATGGCTGGTTCTCGGCAGGTGTTCACCCAGTGGACATGGAATAAAGCACCCCTGGCCACCCACAGCAAGTCCTCATCTGTGCCATAAGGAGGGGGCTGGTAAGCTTTGCAGGAGTCCAGTGCGAGGGGCGGCAGGAGGCGCAGAGACCTGAGTGGAGGGGTGGGCCCTACGGTCCTGGTTTGGACGAGGATTCCGGACTTCTGTGCCTCTCCCCGCTGCCGTGGGCTCTGCAGTCGACTCCTCTCCTGTATGGAAGGGAAACACAGCCGCAGCACCTGCACAGGAGGGAGCCTCGAGCTTTCCTGCTTCTGTCTGCTCCCAGCTCTTCCTCTTCCTCCTGTGTCCAGGCTTCGGTCTGCACATTCCGAGGCCCAGGGCAGTTGCAGGAACTCTGGATGGAGGTGGAGAGGCCACCAGGACAGAGCTGGTGTCTGGGCCGGCCCTGAGGGTGTCCCCTCTGGGGTCTGAAGAGATGACCCACCTACTTCCCTGGTCCGTACCGTCCTCACCCGAAGATGAGCATAAACCATCTCTGCTTCTGCTGGGAGGTGCCACGGACTGGTCTCCTCTCCTCCCAAATCCAAAAATTGAAGCCTCCACCCAGTACCTCTGAATGTAGCTATACTTGGAGATGGGGCCTTTAAAAAAGGCAATTACAATAGAGTCCTTTGAGTAGTTGTGGATGCACCTCAGTGGTGTCTTTATAACTAGGTAGGACACAGATCCCACAGGTGAACAGCCATAAACTCATAGGGAGAAGATGGTACCAAAGTCAACAAGAGGCCTCAAGAGGAAACAAACACCCAGCCCGGACTTTGGGCTTCTGGTCTCCGGAATAGTAAGAAACTGAATCCAGTTTAAAGCACCCAGGCTGCAGTGTTTTGTTCTGGCAGCTCTAGAAAAATAATCTACGAGATAAGGCAGAAAACAAATGCAGGGTGTGGGGTAGCTGCCCCCAAACACCGTCTTTTCCAGCTCATTAATAGAAGGAAGCTACCTGAGACACAGGGCATGCGGACTGGCCCCCACTGGCCAGGCCCACAGAGCGAAACAGCTGCTTTCTGAATCAGCCTTCCACTGTGGGTCATCGGAAGACCAGCTCCATTCAGCAAAAGGCCAGAGGGCTGGGGGAAGTCCAGGGCTGTCACTGAAGGGAGCAGCTGTGCAGGACGCAGAGAAGAGAAGGTTCTAGGGGATACCAAGCCGTCTCCAAACAGAGCCATGGACTTCTTGTTTGGGAGGTCCAGGACGTGTGTGCAGCCAGAGCAGAGTTCAGGGTGGTAGATGTGGGTCAGCACAAAGAAGGCGTTTCTAAGAGCATACTGGCAGATATGAGGGGCTTTTTCAGGATGCAGCAGATGAGGCTGGGAGACCACTTTTCAGAAATGTCAGAAAGGGGCCTCAGGCGCAGAGCCCTTGTCGGTGCAGGGGTGCCCTTTCCGTCCTGTGTTCTTGGCATAAATGGGCTGTACTTCAGCAGAAGATGGGTTCCAGTGACGCTGAAGATATGTACTGCTTTCGGTTGTAAAAGCGCATGCACGGTCAACAAATATTTTTGAGCTTTGTGAATCTGATGAGTAAGGAGGGTAGAAAATATACTGAGAAAAATGGAATAAATATTTAATCTGTAGAGGACAATCATAAGACCTTGGGGAACAGAAAAAATGCCACAGTTCTCTGGAGCTTTAAAGTACAGGCTTTAGCAGATACGCACTTGCGTGAGCCACAATCCTAAATTCGCTCTGTGCAAAGCTGCCATCTCCATTTTACAAATTGGGAAAAAAATACTGAGCTTGATTTATGTACTAACCGCTAATCTATCCTGCAAGGGTTTGTTAAAATTACTCTCAGTAAGAGTCGACGCGGTAAAAGCTGTAATTTCCCGACTACTATCATACCTGAGATTTGGAGAGAGTCGATAGAAGCGCGGGACGATTTGGTGGCTGTATCAGAAAGACGATTTTCATAGCCACAAATTGCTAGGGAATAACAGAGGGCCGCTGGTTCTAAGTGCTGCCTGCGGTACCACCTCATTAGGGCGCGCCCCGTCATCACCGCGGGGGGTCACCAGCAGGGGCGGCCTGGGGGGGACCCAGAGAGCGCAGACGCAGGCGGCCCCGGGGGCACCCTGAGGGCTCCAGCGCTGGGAACTGCGCGGAGACCCAGCACCCCGGACCTCCGCACCGTGGGCCTGGGGCGCAGACACTCCGACCCTCTGGGGCCCGATCTCGAGGCCTCCCCTCCCCCACGGGGCGCCCAACCCAGCCAAGGCCCGCGGAATACAAGCCGGGCAAGGCCTGAGCCCGGGAGGTCACCCTCTGGCCTCGGCTTGGGGTTCCCGGCTGTCGTCTAGGGGCGCGCGCCCTACTCCGCGAGTACCGTGGGCCGAGGATTCCGGGGCGGGCCGGCCGACGACCGAGACCTCGCAGAGAGCCCTGGCGCGGCGGAGGCGAGCGCCCCCGCGGGGCCGCCGGGACACGACCC